GTGCACGGGGAGGAAGTGACTTGGTGACCGGGGCCCCCGAGCGCCCCGAGTACCTCGACAGTCGCTAATACAGGACGCTGCATATCGACAGACCAGATGGGCGAGTCCATGCGGACCACATGCCGGCAGACAGACACACTGGTCTTCGTGTGGCGTGCCTCCTCCTGAGAGCCCCCCCCCCCCCCTCCGGGAACAAGGGAAACGCTCCTTTTCATGTCAGAGCTGCTGGAGGTAGGCGACCCGGCCGACACCCGCGCGGCGCGGTTGCCTACCCGCCGCCTGGCGGGCGCCGAGGCAGCGATCCACCTCACCGGGCCGGGCGGACACGAAGGGGCGGGTGAGACGTGGCGGACGCGGCGCGCTGCACTTCGCAGGGTAGCGAGCGAGGCTCTAATTCTAATGGACCATGGGGGACGAGCAGGCGGCGCCAGCGCAGCGCCAGCCGGGGTCCTTTACGGGACAATCAACGCATCGAAGGCGGTGTCTGACCGTCAGTCAGTCGTCAGTCTCTGACAGTCAGCCGACTGATTCCGCAGAGCGCGTTCAAGTGGCGTTTCCCCGTGAGTGAGACAAGGAGCGAGCTTATACGGGAAGTATACGAAGTCAATCTTCTGAATCGCGGAGCCGCTCAGACACAGAGCCCCCCGTCAGAGTCGTCATTCCAGAGCCTTTCACTTCGCTCCTATAACGGAGCAGTAATAATACTCGGCGCGGATACTAGGGCGATTTAGATGTTCGTGCGCGGGGGACCCCGCCGGGGGTAACGGGCGTGGAGGATGGCGTGAGGGAGAGGGCGAGGGAGGGAGCCGTTGGGGGGGGGGGGGGGGGGGGGGGGGGGGGGGGGGGAGAATGGGAGAGGGGTGACCGTCTCGTGTAGGAACACGGGTTGGCTAGGCTGGGCGAGGTAACACGCTGCTGAAGGTAATTTTGAAGGGACTCGGAACGGAGAAGAACACATAAGCTGTCCTAACAGTCCAGAAGCCATAGGTGGCCGGTACCGCACAGGGTACTAGAATGGCCCCCACCTCCACCTCCCTCCTGTGGAGGCGAGTAATCCTGAAGACATCATTCCAAGATTTTATTTAATGGAGGTTTTGCTGCTTTCATCATTGATTCAGCCAGTTTTCAAAACATGAGACAACAACAAAATTGGAAAGGAGCTCTGTCCTTGAAAGGAAAAAAAATATGTACATTACTACAGTACTAAAAGGTTCTGTATCGAGTCATGCCTGGAGAACATATGGCGTGCATCTCTGATAGTGGAGTTGGTTACCATTCATATAGAACAGATCCGAAACATTAAACAGAGATCATAAGTAGTAGACAGCTCATTTTAACGAACCAAATACTGTGTAGCATGTGTCATTAAGAGTTTCGTATGCTTAACAAAAACTAACTCCTTACAGGTCAAACAGACATTATGCTACATTTATGGCTGGTAAACAGACATGAGCACAAGCGAAATTTTTCGGGTGGTCTTCCATTCAATAAATTGAGTAGAATATTTGACAAAGTTAAGAGACTTTTCTGACCTTAAGGTGTGCCTCTTTAGGAAATCCATCAACATCCAAGATGGTTCACGCAAAGTATCGAGGTTAGGGCATATGCTCTTTACTGGCACAAAACGAAAAATGCTTACATTCTCTAATGGTTCGTTCAAAAGTCTGGTGGGATTAAATTCACTCACCAAAGTCTTGATGTACAGCAGGACGTGACCGTCTGCGGGCTGCAGAAGCAGACGACTGACAGCGAGAAGAGACAGCAGACAGACAGACGGGCGAACAGACGGAGCACGGAGCAGCATCGCCAACCCACAGGTCGAGTGGGAAACTAATAAAAATTGATTAACAACATTAGAGACTGAGTGCAAATCGGCATCTTTTGTTTCATCGATCTTGTTGGCAGAAAGTGGAAAATTAGAAAAGATCGTGGGGATTATCAAAATTCCAAAGTAGGACACTTCCCTGCTGATCAGTACTTACTCTCAACAAAACAGAAGGCTGTGCACACGGAGTGAGAGAGAGAGAGATAGAACAGAACGACGAGACGAGCTAGTAGTCTGCATGAGTAGTCACTTCTGAAAATGGCGGTGGACGTTGGTAAAAACATCAGCAGCTTTCTAAGCTCCAAACAATCCTCTTCCAGTTCTGAATTGGCAGCAGAATGGGCGGCTTTGGACGAACTTCATACCAAGAAGTAAGTTTTTTCATTTTCGTGACGGAAATCGTCCCAAAGATGTAAACAATGACTGCCGGGTCCTGGACCTGTCAGGTCACCAACAAAGCAAATTGTTTATAATTATTATTTTTCTCATTATAAAACCCTTAAATCGGCTTTTTTTTTTGTCAAAACTACCTCTTTCTTACTAATAAGGATGTTGCTGTTATGTCTCTGAGAGTCCATCAATTGTGGACAGTAACATCTCAATGATCATAACCTATCAATTGAGTCAATGGTAGTGTTTATTTCATGGCCCATTTAATACATCCAACCATTCAGTATTTGGAGTCATTTTTTGTTCTGGGTTCTATACAATTTCCACTTCCAATTTCATATTTATAGTTCTCTTTGTTAACATTGTTGTTACTACTATAAATAAAATTGCATTTCCAGGCTGTATCATCAGCTTACTTTAAAGCTCATGACATTTGTCAAAAGTCCCTCCCTTCAAGAGGGAGAACAACTGATAGAGCTTTACAGCAAATTTATTGCGTATATTGAAAACAAGTAAGTGAAACAGAAATAAGATTTTTAAAAGATTTTATAGCAAATTTAGTATTACCTTTTGTTGTTTGTTTTTGTTACAGAATTAATCCCCTCTCTTTGGTAGAGATTTTGGCATTTGTTGTACAGCAATATACAGACTGGAAAGAAGCTGTGTCATTCCTTGAAAAGATGGAAGTCAAAGTAAAGGGCTGTGAAGATGCTGTCATGCTCTGCAAAGTGTTCGAAGGCCAGATACTACTTGAGAAATTATCAGATACTACCGCAACAAAGGTGATAAAATAACTTGAAATTCTTTAGTTTTCTTCTTTTTGCATTGTTACTTACCCTGCCATATATCATCTAGAAAATTATCGATGATGTGGAGAAGGAGCTTGATAAGAAGGATGGAGTGGGTCCAGTCCATGGAAGATTTTATCTTTTGGCCAGCACCTACTATCGTCAACAGGGAAAGCATGCTGAGTACTATCGTACAGCCTTGCGATATTTAGGCTGTGTCAACCTTGATGACTTGTCATTTAAAGAACAGATGCAACATGCTTTCTTCCTTGGACTTGCTGCTCTTCTGGGAGAGGGTGTTTATAATTTAGGGGAATTGGTAGGTACTTTGGTCATTGACTTTTACTGCAGTAGTTCCTTTTTGTTTTTTGGAAAATTCTAAGGCTATTTTTATTTGTATTTTCAGCTTGCCCATCCTGTTCTTCAAACCATGAAAAACACACCAAACAAGTGGTTAGTAGATTTACTCCTTGCCTTCAACTCAGGAGACATTGCTAAATTTGATGAAATGAAACCAAAGTGGTCCAGTGTACCTGATTTGGCAGCCCAGGAACTTAAGTTACGTCAGAAAATCTCACTTCTTTGTCTCATGGAGGTAAGTTTCCCACTGTAGTATTTTTAATTTTATTGGCTGTGATACCCAAAATTTATAATATTTCTTTGAGCAGATGACTTTTAAAAGACCATCCACTGATAGGCAGCTAACCTTTGAAGAAATTGCTGCAGAAACAAGATTACCCGTAAATGAAGTAGAATTGTTGGTCATGAAAGCTTTGGCTCAGGGTCTTGTTAAAGGAGCTATCGACCAGGTGGATGGGCGTGTTCACATGACATGGGTTCAACCTCGTGTTTTGGACAAACAGCAGGTAATGGCACTGTTCTCCACTATTAAAAGAATCTTTTCTTGTTAAGTGATGCTACTGCATGTAGATTTTTAAAAGAATCTTTTTCTTGTTAAGTGATGCTCCTACATGTAGATTTGTCTTTTTTTTTTTTCCAGATTGGAACTATGGTTAAGAGATTAGATGTATGGTGCAAAGATGTGAAGAATATGGAACAACTGCTAGAGACCCAAGCTCATGATTTCTTAACACTGTAATTTGGACTGCAATCTTGTAAGTGCAATAGAAATTGTTTCTTTCATGTTGTTCAGATGCAATGTTTTATCTGGTAAAGAATACAATAATTTGCTGAAATTAATTTTGTAACATTAAGTAAGGTTCAGTAGACAAACTTCTGTGGCATTAAAACTTGTATTTTGTAAGTTTATTCACCAGTGTACAGTTTGATCAGAATTTTCCTTACATTTTTCCCATTTTTTTTAGTTTTCTAAACAATTTATGATTTAACATTTAATACTCTCCATAAATAAATACTTTCATAAAAAAAAACACTTTTATTAAAAATGTACAGTTTGATACACATCAGACTGTGACTGACTGCCAAGGTTAAACTCCATTCAGAAGGACAACTGGGCGTACTTTGGGCTCAAGTTGCATATGGTGAAAATAATATGATTTTAACAAACTTAAAATTTGATCAATTTTTTTCTTCTTTTCTGTTTGGGTAAATGAAACATTGTTACAAACTTTTTGGATCAGCTGTTCCGCCCACTGTGGAATAGGGTGATCAGAAATTTCACTTTTGATCAAATGAATTGTTTGCTCGAAAGATAAAGAGGGAGGGGATAACACGAGTGACGCATTAGCATTGGATGACCTGACACCAATAATCTGTGTAAAAAACATCAAATTAATAGTAGTAAAAAATTGTTTAAACAAAATACACACTCTAGAGGAGGTACTTGCATTAGACCTTCGAGTCCTCCTAGCTGAGCGTTGAAGTGGCCACTTGAGCCTGGGAAGAGAGATAACTGCCTGCAGTAATGGAGTTGGACAAGACTGGAGACAAATTAAAATTGATAATGAGACTTAACAATGGTTTATAATCAGCATCTTAATACGGACTTTCTATCTTCTTGTGCAATACCTCTTGAGAGTTACTTGTGCTGCTTTCTCCCTGGAGGTTTGGTGATGAAGAACCATTATGTTCTAAAACTTCCCTCTGGCCAAGTGACATTTCAGCAGATGCACATTGACGAGACGGCAGAGAAAGTCGAACCTGTTTTAAGAGTGGACTGTTTTCTACACCAGTCTTAGAATGTGTACTTCTCAGGCGTGAACGACAAGATGGCAAAGAAAATCGACTACGTTTAAAAGTAGCAGTTTTCCTCACACCACTCTTGGAATCTCTATTCGCATGACTTTGATGACTAGGTGACTTAGTAAGAGTGGGTGTACGCTTTTTACTGATAAGATTGGTAAGTCTCTTCACTTTAGACCCTGAATGAAATCTGGCTGAATGTATAGATGGTTTAGATGATGGGGCAGATTTGCGAGCCTGTAAGAAATTACAAGTGAGAAAAGATCACAGGTAAATCAATAAGAATGCCATAAAAATAAGCAAATATACAGAATACAAAAACACAAGCCATTCTTTTATTGAAGCGTTAAAGATTCTTACCCTTGAGGTAACACGATGTGCAGATGAGGAGTTTCTGTTAGCACTTTTAATACTTCCCTTCTTTTGAGGAACAACTGAAGGACGGTTTGATTGAAGAAGAACCCAAGGCCCTTCTGACACCAAATCCCCACTCTTTTGAGCACGAATCATAACTCCTAGTTGATCCATTTGTCGATAAAGCAGATCTTGTTCATTAACATGATATTTTTTCCATTGAGAGCGCAGTTCCTTGAGAATAGGTTTCACCCATGATGGAGGATTGTCATCAAGACCTAAATAGGACTGCCAGTAACTCATCCAACCATTGATGGCATGACTAACCCCTTCACTTTCAGGTTCATCATCTGACTCATTTTCACTTTCAGCCACCGAGTTTGGTATTGTTGATGTATCGTCTAGAATATCGTCACCAATTTGATTTTCCACTGTAGAGCTTCCAGCATCTTCAGGCCTTTTATCATTTGTTCTTTTGGATGGGATTTCCTTGCGTTTTAGGCAGTCCCTCCATTTAACAATAAGTTCAGCCTCTACTTCATGTTTAAGTCTACCAGCATCTTCCACGGTGAATGTACCTCGAAAACTTCGTCCCAGAACCTGCAAACACAGGACATGGTTTATGTAAGTGTCATAAACTCCAAAAATAAAAATTGAAAGAAAGATAACAGGAAAAAAAAAGGTGAACAATATTAATGACTTACATAGCTTGTCCACATGCCAACCCATCTATGCCAAATTTTATGTCTGAGCCACATTGACATACCACAAATGCGTTCCTGGCATATTTCACATTCTAACTCATTCTGCTCCTGAAGCAACCCAATACTGCTATTAGCAAAATTTTCAATCTGAAAATAAAAACCGGTAACATAATTATAATAACAACAAAATTCTCAGATACATTTCATAACCACAAAATACACTGATTGGAAAATACCTCTTGTTTAAATGCAGCATTAAGTCTATGATGCATTTCATGAATCATCAAATTTTTAAGACCTTCACAATTATGACCACAAACAGAGCAGGGGAAATGTGTATCAGTCATATTATGAGCTTTTAAATGAGTTCTGTATTCTGGTAGTGAATTGAATCGCTGTGAACAATATTTGCATGCATATTCATGAGTCCTTTCATGTTTTCTAAGCAGCACTTCTTTCCTAAAAGAGCACGCACACTTCCTACAAGTATATTTAAATGTACTTTTGTGTTTTTCTGACAAATCCGCATACATATCAACATTATGTCCTATCCATTGGTTATTATCTTCCTGTTTGAAAAAAAAAAAAAAAAGTTGATGAGAAAGAAAGGAAAATAAATGGCTAAACACTATACATCACTATAAACCTACTTGAATGTCACTGATGGTAGAAATGTTGGGAGTAAAGTCTGTTATATTGTTGGGACAGGAGAGCTCATCCCCTCCCGAACCCATGACACAGTGATTTAAGATTTCCAAATCAGGATATGATTCTCCTTGCAACTGAGTTTCAAAGTCTACAGGGGAAATTGTTTCAATGGCATTACTTTCTGGCATGTCACCTGTACCAGTGAGTGAATTAGATTCAGCAGTATCTGTTGCAGAATTATTGTCTTCCTGATTTTCAGCTGCCATTGAAGAATGGACATCTGGCAAGTCAGTAAATAAATATAGTTCTTCAGGTTCGCGTTGAAGCTCTTCCACAATTTGAACATCATTGTTATCACTGCTAGAAGGTGGAGGGTTTGTCTCACTAAAGGAGATGTTCATTGAAGTCTCCACACAAGATGAGGCAGCAAAAGCTGCATTTTCGTCGTCTTGATGGCACTCATTTTTAACATGGAATTTGAATGCAATTTTACCTCGAAAACTTGTTGAGCAGTTAACACACAAGAACTGCTTATGTTGGTTAGAATAATGTATTATAGCGTCGGCAGGTCTGGGACAAAAAGACAATAACTACTCCAGTACTTCAAACAAAACTCATACAAAAATTTGCAAGTTACTTACTTTGAGAAGGAATACTTCCTTAAGGTAGCCTCACAGGGAGCCTCGGGGCAGTAAGGACAAATAATCTTGTGATCGTCTTCTACAATATGTTTTACCAACTCATTATAATTAGGATAAGGGGCGCAACAAATGACACAGTAATATGCTGACATTCGATGAAACTTTGCTCTATGAGATCGATAGTTACGTGAAGTGGTAAACATCTAAAACATACAGAAACTAAAGATATCAAAAATGCAAGAGAAGCGCAAAATGTCAGTTCAACATCACAGTACCTTAGAGCAGTTATCAAACTGACAAGTAATTATGTCATCAAAAAATATTAAACTCATTTCAGAGGCAATCCGGATATCCAGAGGGGTTTCGAAATGCTGAATAAAAGGCCTGGATGTCTGGCCGGTCTGGTCCAACTCAGTCTCAGGTTCAACCAATTCATTGCCATGGTCCATAGTGCCCAACATGTGTAAATAGTAGCTGTACGAAGATTACAACACTGACAACTTGTTGATCATTGGTGCAACAACTGTGGGCTACAAAGACTGATCTTAATCCCCAGGTAATTCAAAATGGTACTTGATGGTACTTAAAAAATATACATGATCTATGTAGTTTAACCTCAATTAGATGTATAGTGGTGTACTCAATTTTTTGAGATGTTGCGGATTCCGATCAGTTGAACTAAACCTTACCTTATTTTTTATTTTGTATTAAATTGCCTGCACACATTGTTTCAAAAAGTTTCAGCTGTTCCAAGATGACATGCACACAGTGCTATTTCGGATTTCGCTTCTCAGCGCAATCTTCTCAACCACAGCCACAGGTGGCGCGAAAATACAGAACAAGAAGAAAACAATGAAACAGAAAGTCAAGCAACATAACAATATGGTGACAAACTGGCAAAAAAACTAGTTTTTATTATAAAATACATATTTTGGGGGGCCTTGTTTGCATTACTGTTAAAGATAGATCACTGATTAGCGAAAACAATTTGTATCTAATTCGAGTTTCGCTACAGCGGTCTAGTCCCATACTCGGTCCAACCCCCACTCGGCACCATGAGGTTGGCTACATTCGACAGGCTTTCCCTTTTCCTTTCCGCGAAGTACGATAGGATATCTCACCCGTCCCGGTGAGCTGACTTAAAACGTTTCCTTCTATAGTTCTATTTGTCCTGAGAGTGAGGAACAGTTTTTTGTTTTTTGTTTTTTGTCATTTTTTGTGCCATTCAAAAGTCAGGATTTCAGGATTCATTTCGCTATAAGTGGCAATAAATGCTTAACTCGATAACCATTTTAATATTACAATAGCGCAAAAGCGCCGAGTAAAAAACAATTTTTTCCCAGTTTTTTAACTCGTTCTTTACCTCCCACACCTCTTCTAGGGAGGAAGAGAACGAGTAATTAATCGTGCTCAGTATGGTGTAATTTAGTTTCCACTTTCAGCGAAGAAATGGTAATACATACAGCTAATGGTGTAACCAAAATGTTGTATTTTGTGTTTGAATGAATCAATAGTAGAGGTTCTTCACTCGTTCTTTACCATGTGTTATGGAGATTTTGTATTCCTACTTATGTTCTTGCCCCAATTATACAAAGAATAGCTGAGAGAAAAATGAAATGGTAAGACATTCAGAAGAGATAATTTATTTGTCGAGGTATAAATATAAACTTCTATTTGTACTATCTTTCCTTGTTAAGGATTATGCATATAAATAGACTAATAATAAAATAGAGAGAATTATTTTTCGCATTCAAAGCCCAGTCAGTCGGCAGCTTAGCCCTGCGCGGGGAATACCAGTAGAGTGTAGTTTTAGACAGTACCAGTCGTTCCAGCAGTATCATCGCTTCTTGAACGAGGGCCTCGTTTAAGACAAACATTTCCGTCTTTCATAGCTGCAGTTACGTCCACTCCACATCGACCAACAGTAACTGTGGAGCCTCGCGTATGGGCACTGGGCACGGTCAGACATCACAGGATGCTACGTATGCCGAAACGATATCGAAAAAGGGGAAATCGGTGTCGTGACGATATCGTTTCTGCCAGTCAATTCTGGGAGGACGCATATCGCTGTTGCCGAGTGAGAAGGCCAGTGGGCAGGGCAGCCTCGCACAAAAACAATACCACATTATAATACACACATCACATTGCGAGGTGAGGGAGCAAGGGAAGAAGGGCGGGGAGGGGG